ATAATTGATGTCAGTTGTCGACTAATCTGGGTTAGATAACGGGTACTCGTGCATCTTGTCGATATGACACGCCCACCGGATTGCTTGGGGTCGTATGTCACTACCAGATTGCAGCCGGACGGGGGTAACGATAACTGAAATCCCAGTTAGCTGATGGGATCTGGGTATAAAGAACGTGGAAGAACGATAATATCTTGCATTCGTAGTAAATATCCCTGTATAACTCCGCTCGCCTTGTACCCATCTATCTAGGTGGACAGTTTGGAAGGTTCCTGCATCCAGATCTGCCTTTATTGATTGGCCATCCAAACAAAACGTTGGGCATTCATGGCCAGTCACGGACTTAAGCAGGGAAGCCCATGAAAGAATAAGCACATCCACTGCCAATTGGCAGTTTCCAACGTTCCAGGAGATAGCTATGCTGCTTGGTACCTCTTCCTGGCCATAGTCAAGCGCAGGGAAGCTTGTATATCTCCCGTCTAACGTAGGATCCATGGCCTTGGAAAGGCAAGCACGCAGGATTTGTTGCTAGTAAGAAAAAAAAACTATCAAACAACCCAGCTGGCCAAATATATCTCAAAGTAATATATGATTATACTCAGAGATAAACCATCAGCTCGCAAATCCTTGGCTAGCGCGGGGAGTGTTTAAACGTCTTTAGACCGATATCTAGGGTAATCTTCCCCCCATTTCAAGGAAGTATGTCGATGTTTTTCACCGTAGACGGGGCCACCGTCTCTTGAAATAGAATATTCTCTTCGCGTATGTTATCTGGAAGAGGGGTTCCTACTGCATTTCGTTAGGCTCCACCGGAACATTGAAATAAGCTTGATGGATGGAACCGGCATCGTATGGAGAATTCTCTGGAATGTATCCACAAGCAGGATCAAAATTTAAGTCATAACATGGTGGTCCAAGGGGTCCACTTACTTGAATGTCTGGAAACTGTCCAGCGCCCGACAGAATGTCAATCAATGATTTGAACATGCAATGACTGTCGAAGGGCGAGATCATACCAACTCTTCGGTCAGGAGAGAGAGGGGTTATCGTGCTGACAGCCTTCGTTCTATAGTTTGGCCTATATCCCAATAGGTGGATATTCCGCGCCATTCGCTGTCCCCGTGGTCAGTCGAGTTATGGTGGTTGTGGTGGTCGGGACGGATCTAATCTTATCTCCGACTGATCCGAAGCAGTGGCAACCATAACGTGCGTGGGGGTTGGCTTGCTCCTAAATCGCTTGGCGTTTCAACAGGCCAGAACGACATCCACGCTGCATTTTGCATTTTCACTTTACATGAGGAAGAACAAGTAGACAGACTAAGCGCTGTGTAACATAGTATAGTATATATACATTCCAACCCGCTGAAGAGAATAAATCAATATGTAATGTATTAAGCAGCAAAGAAAACTGTCATTAATTGGAAAATTAATATGTCCCGCCAGTCCGTCCAGACCACAAAGGGGTAGGTAACATCAAGTCATTTAAAAGGAACACGAAAAGAGATCAGCACCATCAAGTCTATACAGCATCTTCGGCAGCAACGCTCCGATACACCATACCGGAACCAGCCCTACTTCCCCCCGACCTCGTCATAAGTGGCATATCGAACATGCGAGCATAATTCACCGCCTCGCCACCTAACATTGCGCTCCCCGTATCTCTTTTGCCAAAATAAGGCTGACTATCGCACCAAAAATCTTTGCAATTCGTAACAACACCGCGTGAGAAAGGGTTCCTGTGTCGAGCCCCGCCCCGCCGATCAAGTCCATCCTGCGCCGTGGCTACGAAGGTATCCAGACCCAGCAGCGTCTTCCATTGGGATAGGCAGCCGTGGTCGTGGCGGTGTGGAAGCGGTCGGCGGTGTGATGGTATTGTAGTTGGTGGAATTGCTGGGTTAGGACCCTGGCTTGTCGTAGAGAGGCCGCCAATATCGGTCGAAGTAGTGCCGGTTGTACTGGCGGAGGTAATGGCTTGCGAAGCTGAGTTCGCATAGTCGAATGTGTGTCCCCGCAGATTTTCGTACGTGGTCTGATTGCGGGATATCTGGACAAGCTGGACGACACAGAGCATGCTCACCCATATGAGTTGGAGACTGGTCCACATCGTGAGGATGATTGTGAAGGTATCTCGGTTGAGGATATCGCAGAGTGTTGAGGAAAGGATGTTGCATTCAGCATCCGCAGGTACAGGAATTAAATCAATATCTGTGGCCTCGTGAGTAAATGCTTCTTCTTCGTGGACACCCTCCCCCTTTAACTTCGCTGAATATCAAGACTTACGAGCAATTACTAATTGTATATAGAAAACGATGCCAATTTCCATGCTAAAGATATACAGAATAAAGTGGCGCAAGTTATTTGCGCCAACGCAATTATCGATCCATGGGCAATGGCTATGTTTCCCCAGTAGGTTAGTCTAAAGTAAATTCACCCAAATAAAAAGAAAAGAAAAGAAAACTACTGACTGGTCATGCTTAGACACACAGCGCTTACACCGTCTGCAATGTTTGCTGCGTAACGGCTTTCTAGTCATGCAATATACACAGAAGTTGTCTTCGTCGAATTTCCAGAGCTCAAAAAGTTCTGCTATCGTGTCCCTCTGCTGATTTCTGCTTCCTAGTTTAGGGACAAAGCCTGGATCTTCGAACATTGCAAGACCATAGAAATACGTTGTCAGGCCGAAAAACACTGTGAAGAAGAAGTTCAAAAAAGGGCGTGAAGAATATGTATCTAGAGTGCAACATTAGCTATTCAACGTAATTCTCGAATTAAATGGGAAATATTCATTTGGGTCTTACTGGGTAGCACCTTCAAGGCCCAACGTGCTCCAACCCAAAATAGAGTTCCAGCAAAAACGCCTGATAAGAAGGGCTATATGTAATGGGTTAGAAGGCGAGTTCACAATGCAATTCAAACTCCTAGGAAGGGAGAAACGAGGAGGAGTATGGCCTTCTCCAGAAAAATGAGCATACCGTTCGTTGCAGGACTCTATACTCCGGGGGCCCAAGATTTGCAACCCGTTGTGCAACCCACTGCATGCCAAACACAATCCCTATGGTGACTGGGATACCAATATATATAGCCGTATTGCTGAGGGTAAAGATAGAAAAGAGAATGACAAGGAATGGCCAAAAGAAGAAAAACTTCGACGTGAACTGCTTTGTCCGTACAAAGTTCGCTAGCCCGAATGGCATCGCTCGAAGGTTGCCCTCTCGGTTGTAACCACATTCGTTGAGAGCCCGATACCACACGTTGAGCGTGTTCATTTCCCCCGCTACTACAGCGGGAGTCTTGCCATCTCGCGTCTCCGCAAAGCGATCCGAGCCATACTCTATGATCTTTTGAACGCAGGCTGGAGAACCCTTAACCAATGCCCAGTGTAGTGGTGACAGCCCGCCTTCATCAACAGCGTTTACATTCGCTCCCCACCTTAGAAATAGGTCTACACAGGCCGGGAAACCCTTGTACGCCGCCCACATCAGCCCAGTGTGGCCTTGACGGTCCGGCACGTCAACGGGGATTTCTTGATGTAGGAGAAGGGCGAGGAGGAACGCATTTCCATCGATGGTGGCAAGATGTAGTATGTTATATCCTTGGATATCGGTCGATAGAGGGTCCGCGCCGTGTTGTAGTAATAGGTTCACGATGTAATAGTGGCAGCGCTGAGCTGCCCACATGGCCGCTGTAGCTACAGACTCGCCCCCTTTCGCATTCACGTCGGCGCCGGACTCGAGCAAGAACTTGCAAAGGGCATACTGATTGTTTATTGCCGCCCACTACACAAATAGCAGATTTGGTGCGTAAGCAAACTGATCCTCTTTTAACGAAGGCAGGGAAATTACTCGATTATCCACTTACATGTAAAGGCGTAATACCCTCTTCATCTGCATATCTGGCATTAAATTTCCCGCTTTCGAATAGCTTTTGTATGGCCCCTATTTCACCTAGTCGAGCCAGCTGCATTATATCCTCCTCGATGGGCAGTGATCGTTTGGATTTGCTAGTGTTTCCATCCTCCCGGTTGATATCCTTCAATTCTAGCTCATTTTCTCGCGTCGAGAGTTTTGGAGGAACAGCTGTCCCAGTCCCGGTTGTCAGAGACGTAGAGCTGGAATTTCTGTCTGTGGAGCTTTGAACATCACGAGATGTCGATGAGGAGGACATGGCTCAGCGCGGAGTAATTTAGGGCTGATATATTTATCTGGGTGGAAAATGCGCCGGGAGTGGAATATAGCGGTGTGTTGTACTTGTCCCTCAGTTGCGAAGTTCAATCATTTCGTCCTTCGGGGGAACGAGCGAAAAGGGAGGACTAAATTTCCGGATGGGTTTGGTTCTCCTGCATATTATTGTTGCGATGGAGCAAGATTATTTTTCCCAGGCTGGCATTACGAGGCTCTGGGGTGGAGTATGGGGAGCGCGGATTCGGATTGGGCAGCAGCCCCAAAGCGGTTAAATAGAGCTGGGGAACGTCTTCACCGCGGCTCTTGAGTTCCTGAGATGATGAACATTTCCTCATGGATTCCATGAAACTGTGAATTACTGTTATTCTATTTACTTGTCTTCATAGTCTGTGTCTAGCCTAATAATCTATTATTTATCTCTTCAACAACACTGTGATGTTTCCTGCAAACAAAACATCTTTTCAAGCATGCCATTCTCAAGCTAGCTATCTGGGTCATGCTGGGCTTGATCTGCGCAAATTGAGGCTGAACATTTTTCATCTGCGAATGCTGGTGTCTTGTATTAGCTCTGAGCAAAACTGACTGCTGTCAGCCTGACAAAACTGGTACGAGAAAGGTCTAGGCCAACTCTGCATATATGTCCAAAACTATGATTTTTAGGACCAAATCCATCCAATATTTAATGAAAAATGTCGGTATGAAGAGAGGGAAGAAAAAAGACCCCCTTTTTCTTTCCCTGCAAGCTGGGAAAAATCTAACAATCAAGAAAGCAGGTAGCTATAGGTACTTTCTATTCCGCACCGCAGGTCTTATTTACTGTCACCCCTCTCGATATGCCTCGATTTCCCGAAACATCATCTCGACATCAACCCACAACTCGAAATCCATCAAGAAGCTGAAATTAATCTCGAGCTTCGCCAGCTCCCGCTCCGTCACTCCCCCAACTCTAGCAAACCGTCCATGTCGGTAGCAGAGATCCTCCATCATCTTCGCTGCTACCCGCAACCCTCCTAGAACGAGCCGATGCATGTTGCGTGGTGTAACATATATGATTTTCTCCACAATCGCTAGGCGTCTGATATATTGACTTGTGGCGAGATATACTGCCGTTGACATCGGGCAGTAACGATGGACTCGGAGGAGATAGTCTTCCAGAGATATCGGGGATATCTGCTTGCAGTAAAAGCTCTTGATCAATATCATTGGGGAGACGGTAGAAGGATCTTTTGTCCCAGCTCTCGGGTTAGCGTTCAACGAAAAGTTGTCTGCCATGGCGCAGTTATCATTCGCCGTCTGGTATGAGATGGTGGTTTCTCCCATTGGTGTAGTAGATGAGGGGATATCGCCAGTAAGTTTGGCTAATTTTTTCACATGTGCGCAGAGAATCATCAAAGCTGATTCAGGGGGAACACTGGTTACTTTATCGTAATAAGGTGATTTAGTATCCCCAGCAGAACCAGAAACAGGCTGGGGCCTCGTCTTCGGGGAAAGAGAGAGCCGCCGCACCGGCGAGGCTAGATCAGTAGCCATATCGCCATCTGATTCCTCGCTTCGTCTGTTCATTTCTGTGAATGTTCGCGACATCTGAAAGACTTCATTTACTCTTTTCCTAGAGACTAGTACGTGCCAGGCCAGGTTTCCTCACGTACGGGACATCCGGGGCTTGCCGCATCTCAGTGTCAGGTGAAAGTTCATTTCCGGCAATGAGGCTTGCATTGTAGAGTGGTGTCGGGCTAAATTCGGCGAGCACGAAGGTTTGATTGAATATACATGCAACTGCAGATATCCAGGCGGTTGGCTCGGATTGTTCAAGTGCGTCTTGTATCTCTGAGAGAGACACTTCACAGAACATCAAGAATGCCAATTGCGTATTTGTCGTTGCAGGTTCCCCACGATTAAACATTTACTCCGAGGTGAACCCCAGAGTCCATAGGATGTGCGAAAAATAACAGACAAGACTAAGCAAGGCGTGTTTGTGTATTTTTATCCAGACGATAAGACCTAAGAGCGTTGCCCTGTTGAGCAGGAGGCGCCCCGGAGCAGAAATTAACGAGAACAATTAAATAAAACAGCGAAGGGAGAAGATACCAAAAACAAGGAATAGTAGCTTATGCATTACATGAGTTCACGGCGATTTAATGACTAATCATGTAGTCACATGATGTTGACCGTTACAGCCGTTGCGGCTATTGGCCAGGAAGAAGAAAACTTGACCTCGCTAAGTGCGCCACTTGACCTCGTTATGTAAGCTGACCTTGGCCCATGCCACTACCTGACCTCGCTCAATACATCTTTTCTTGTAATTTGAAACTACTCAATTATTTATCATCAATTCTACAATCAATTCAAAATCAATTTAAAATTAATTTAATACTGAAATTGTTCTTGAATTTAATAATAAAGTAAGTATTTATATAATTTACACTGAATTAATTATTAACTGATTTTCAATCAATTATTAATTACTTAAATATATAAATTGAATTTATTTTTATTACTATAATTAATTAGCAATTAATTTAAAATCAATTTAAAATCAATTTAAAATCAATTTAATACTGAAATTATTCTTGAATTTAATAATAAAGTAAGTATTTATATAATTTACACTGAATCGATTATTAACTGATTTTTAATCAATTGTTAATTACTTAAATATATAGATTAAATCTATTTTTATTATTATAAGTAATTAATTGTAAAATAGATTCAATCTATATATTTAAGTAATTAACAATTAATTCAGAATTAATTCAAAATCAATTCAAAATTAATTTAATACTGAAATTATTCTTGAATTTAATAATAAAGTAAGTATTTATATAATTTACACTGAATTAATTATCAACTGATTTTCAATCAATTGTTAATTACTTAAATATATATATTAAATCTATTTTTATTATTATAATTAATTAATAATCAATTCAGAATCAATTCAAAATTAATTTAAAATTAATTTAAAAGTAATTATTAAATATTTTTATCTTAATATATTTTAAAATTCTGTAAAATATCTTTTTATACTCTATATAAATTTATCTGTTTATTTAATTAATTATAAATCAGCTATATATACTTTAATTAATTAATGAACTAAGTGAATAAAAATGAGTGAATTGAAAGATTAAGTGAATTAAAAGATTGAAAGTTAATTATCAACTGATTATTACTGTATTATACAAGGTCAGAGTTATAATTATGTAATAATATTAAGTAATATACTTAGCAAGGTTAAGTTTTTTATATACATTTATTGACTGTGTAGTAATCTTCTGTTAATAATTACTACACTTACTCTAAACATGTATTACTTAACTTATATATAGTTTTACTCTAGATAGATTATAGATTGTAAGAGGCTACGCTAAATAGATTAGTATAATATTTATAGATCTTATATAATAAAGTGAAAAACATTAAAAAAGAAAAAGAAAGAGAAAGTGTAAGAATCAGTAATTAAAGTGAATATTTATACATATATACAGTGATATACATAATAAAGCTTCAGAGTGAAAGAATAGAAATTTCATAGATTTTTTAGTCAAGAATTAATAATTAAGAATGACTGAGAATCAGAGCTTTCAGTGAAATCTATAAAGTGTAATGAAATAGTCTATTATAATTGATTAGATACAGTCTATTATATTAGTTCTCTCTTCTCAGAAGTAATATAGAGTTACAGATATATAGTTTTCATCAGTCAAGAGCTGCTGTCTTGAATAACACAGAGCTTAGAGTTCAGATCAGATGATTATAGCTAACTTATTTTATAAAATATTATTAATTACAGCTGTGAAATCTCTTATTAATAATATCTTTAATCTTTTATTCAAGTTTATTATCTTCTTCTATAATCTCTGACAGCTGTCAGTCAGAAGTCAGTTGAGAAGAAAATGAATTAATGATAATTAGACTGACCGTGTGACCATGTCTGAAACCAGAACCAGATTTTTTAATAGTTTCATTATCAATTCAACTGATCTCATTACATGATTTTAACATTAGATAGTAGTTTTATACTGTCTCAGTGAGACTTACTATCTACTCTTATCACATTTTTCAAATGAGATCATGATTTTCACTTCTCAATTTAAATTATTTTTATTGCTTTAAATGACTTTAAATCTCATTTAAGTGTTATTAAAAAGTGTTACTTTTAAAAAAATTAAAAATAGTCTAAAAAAAACCTTAAAATGTCTAAAAATAGTAACTTTATGCCAAGAATGAGACTAAATGAGATCAAATGAGATCACTTTCTCATTTTTTTCAAGTCATGATTTCATTTTAAGATCTCATATATAGTCACTTTGCATGTTTTTTTAATGACTAGTCCCAGCGGGATTCACATCAAGAAATGTATGAGACCAGATCAAATGAGATTAAATGTGAAATTCATGATTTCAGCGGCCAGTCTAATGATAATACAGTAAAGCAAGCTCATGTGAAATATATTATAAATCTCTGACAGAGTATTAAGACAGTAATTATAACTGTCTAGAACTTCTATTACTGTGTATTTTATATGATAATAATTCAATGTATAAAATGAATATATAATTTATATATTTTTAAGATTTAATTATATAAGATCTTCTATCTTATACTGCTCTATGAGATCTTGTTAAATATTAATTTAATCTTCTTAATCTTATTTAGCACTTATCATGAAGACTTCTGCTCAGTTACAGATATCTTAAAACTTTGTTACTATATTATCAGTAATCTGAATTAAACTGCAGAGGTTCAGTATAAACTGTGTAATCTTTAAACAATTTAACACTTTCATATAATAACTGTATGTAAGAAAGAATAGGCTTATATCTGTTAAGACAGCATCTCAGCTGTTGATAGCAATCTCTATATATAGAAGAAGATTATGTCAATTATCTTATAAGTAATTACAGAACTTATAAAGATAATTCTTTATAATTTGAATTATTCATTCTGATGTATCATTAGTCTCAGAGTGATAGATAGTTAATAAATGATATGTAATCTTGAGAACTTAACAGATTCTTGTTCAGAGAGTACTTATGAATTAACAGTCTTAATTTAATACTATAGATTTCAGTAATTTATATATTTAATAGAACAGACTCTGTAGAAAGACTTCAGTGACTTATTCAGTATTTATCTTATTACAAAATTTCAATATTATATCTTTGCTTAATTGATTCATGATAATCAGAATGTTTGTACAATTCTTACTCTTAGAGAGATTAATAGTGAAGTTAATTATCACATCTCATCAGATTCTATTAGAAATATTAAGTGATTTTAACAGGTCTTTTCTACAGTTCTTTCATATAGTGATGAAAGAATAATAATTACAGTTTCAGATAAAACATCTAATACTGTTTAATATCTCAGATCAGTAGAACTCTTAAGAGATTATTTAATACAGTTATTTATAATCTGAATAACTGATTATATAAGAATCATGTATCTCTTGTATTATTCAGATGTGTAAGAGTTCAGAGTAAGAGACTCAGCATTATTTATGAAATTATAGAGTGTTATTATCATTGATTGAGCATTCTGAGATGTTGATTCTTATACATAGTTCTAGAAGAAATTAAGATGCTTCTTGATATACTGCTTCAGTGAGTACTTGAAGAAGTTCATCAGTTTAAGCTGTTATATATTACAATTTATTCAGTGTAGATTTGAGAGATGTTCTGATCAGTAAAGTATATATAGTATTATAAGTAATCTCATTATAATGAACTAATATCTTCAGATTCAAGAGCTGATGTTCTTAGTTTATTTAATACATATCTGTTACATCAGATGACATATTTTACTCTTATTATAAGAGAGTATCTATTATCAAGTTCTGACTGATAAGATAATAGTGTATAATAAAATAAAAACAGCTTAATAGTTCAGATTATTATATGTGATATTCAGTAAGCTTACAGATAATTATGAAATACTTGAGATTCTTATAATCTATAATTATCTTACATTTGAAGATACTTTGAAGTTCAGAGTTTCATTTTTCTAGACAGTATACAATTGTAAGAAGCTTCTTATCATAGATCTCATAATTGCATTCAGCAGGACTCAGTTTCTTAGATATGAAGATGCACAATTATAAGATATCTTTATTATTATACTGTAATATAACTTCTTCTATAATATAGTCATAGAAATCAGCTTCAATGACTATCTTATAATCAGAATTAAATATTATTAGCAGAGAGATATTAATGAATATCTTCTTTATTTATATAAATACAGCTTCAGCATCTGCTGATCACTGAAATACTGAGTTCTTCTTAATAAGTTCTGTAAGTGATCTCATAATATCTGAGAAGTGTTGTATAAATCACTGATAGAAGTTAGTAAATCTGATAAAGCTTCATACATCTTTCACAGTATGTGAAGCTTCTTATTCAAGAATGACAGAGATCTTCTCAGAATTCATTCAAATACTCTTACTAGCTTCTATGATAAAACCTAGGTATTTTATACTCTTAACTTCAAAATTTCACTTGTTAATATCTATTAATAGTTCTGCTTCTTATAATTATTATAATACTCTCTGTATATGTTCTTGATATTCCTTTCTGAATTCATCAGTAAAGATGAGAATGTTATCTAGATATATAGATACAAACTCATCAAGAAAATCTTGAAGTACTTAGTTGATATACTTCTGAAATATACTGAGAGTATTAACCAGTTCAAAAGATGTGACTACTTATTCAAAGAGATTATAATATGTTCAGAATGCTGTAAGTTATTCATCTTTTTCAGTGATATAAATCTTATATAACACAGTAATAATATCTAGCTTTGTAAATCATTGAGCTCATCTGATATATGCTAAAATTTCATTAATGAGAGATAAGAGATAATAATCTTTCTTTATCAATCTGTTCAGATCTTAATAGT